AAGTATTTTCATATTGTTTATAGATTTAGTTGATTTTAACTTTTTTTTAAATTTAAAATTTTATAATTAGATATAAAAATAAATTTTGAGATAATCCTAATAACATTTACATCAAAATTATATACCATGATAAAATTTGAAGGCGCACCTTACCTCAACAGCTAAGGATGCATGCATATGCCAACTGCACCCATTAAAAAAAAAACAATAAAAGATAATATTGATGGGACTCGGTGGGGTTGGGGCTAGCATCGCCGACCCAGTGATCGACAGTTCCTAATGGGATAGGAAGTTTTAAAGCCCGTCTATTTCCATTATACATGTTTCCCACAATTTCAAACTTAAGGCATGGTTAGGACTTAATTCAAAGTTTTAAGCTCACAATTTCTAGGGGCAAGCCTCTTTATGGCCTTCTACGTGGGGTATTTCCTTACCCTTACAGGTACGGCTACCACCGGGCTGGACCGCACCCGGTAAAAGCCTGAAAACTATTTTGGCCTGGCTTGGTAAGGCCCAGCCTTGATCAGCCGAAAAGAACATGTTTGGGGCCCATTAAGAGGCATTTTTATTTTTTAAAAAAAATATTATCTCCCTTCAAACTTTTTTTTGTTTGAAGTAAGAAAAAAAAAAAAAGTGCTAAAATACTTTTTGGGTTTCAAGAGAGATTGAATTTTTAGAGAGAGAAAGACATATGGGTTTAGAGATTGGGTTTCTAGAGAGAAAAAATGGGTTTTTAGATAGAACAAGAGAGATTGAGTTTTTAGAGAGAGAGTGGATTTTAAATTTTCTAAAAAATATGTTAGCAACTATTTTTTTTTTTGGCTTACTACAACAAAAAAAAGTTTGAAGAGTGAAGATTTATTTAAAAAAACAGAAAAAAGAAAAGAAAAGAGCTTCTAAATGGACATGATTGAAATATTTTCGGACTCCCTAGGCCAGTCCGGCTTGTTGGCAAGTTTTTGGGCTTTACTGGCCTTTTCAGCCCGGCCGGAGCACATAAAAGGCCCAATGGTGGGCCACAATCCCGGCCTGGTCCGAAAGCCCAAAGGCTGGCATGGACCATTGGAAGAGAGTGAGAGACCAAGGCTTTTGCGTTGCTTTTAATTTGTGTGCACGTACACGGCTGGCTAGGACACATTTAGCCTGAGCCCTGGGCCAAATCCTTTTGGATATTCTGAGTTAGTGGCGTTCAATACCTGGAAGACACATGTGAGTCAGGGTGAGCCTAAGGATTGGGTAAAAGTCTTTTGGATCTTGCGAGTCTGATGCGTTAAATATCCCTAGGACAGCGAGAGCCTCTCGTGCCTTTCATTATTGGAGCAAATGGATCTATTGTCAAAGCTAGTTTCAAGTTGCCCTTTTGGGAACCCAGAATAATATAAATCAGATCAATCTGAGTTTTATTTAGAACTTGGAATTCGCAATGATACTACGATTTGTAGAGCTTGGGTTGAGCAGTTTTAGACCCTGGTAGTTCAATTCACAAGGATTATGACCCATAAGAGACATAACAATCTGTAGAAAGGAGAATTCGGTCAGATCCATTAATAATGATTGCTTTCGTACTGTTTCGAACTATCATGTCTGTTTTAAACTCATTCGAACTTTCTGTTTCCAAGGTCCTCTTCCTAGATCTTCAAGAATTTTGAAAATTTCTCAAACAAATGAACAATTGAAGTAAAAAATGATGCTACTGTTCCACCATTTTAGAGTGAAATTCTATTGAAAATATATGATTGTTTGAAATTGATAAAATTAGCCTTCTAAGGCTACCCATTAGGAGGATTTAATTTTGTTACCTCCGACGAGATGTTCTTTAATTTATTCCTAATTTCGGTCAAGTTTCTCTACATCATCTGTTATTTTTTCAAATCCCCATTCGAATGGTACCACGGTTGCTGCTACAAAGATTCGATTCCCATCAAATTAATAGAATGATTTCTGCCATGAGGATTCAATTTCATAGCTTACCCCGAAGCAGCACCATGTCCAACATATATTGCCTTCGGACTGCATATGGTGAAAAGCCGCTCAATTCAGATTTTGCATTGCATTTTCCTTCACCCGTAGATTCCTATTTCATAAACATTTTATTATTCTATGTTGTTTGAAGAAACTTTATTTTTCATAGACAGTTGTTTGATGAAACATAGATAGTTGTTTGATGAAACATATTCAATGCTTTTTTGGATTTTATTTATAATGTAAAGGGAAAAGTTTATATAGAGCCGAGGCTCTAAACAATCAAATTAGAGCCTACCACAAAAAGTTTACTAGAAGAGGTTGTTTTGATGCCCAAATATCCTCAAATTGATCATCCCGACATCAAGATGTATGGACATGAGAAAAACGTGGATTTAAAGTTTTGAAAATAATGTATTTTAATGCATTTTTGGACTGTCAATTTTCAAGATTTTCAATTTTTCATAGATCTTATGATCTACTTTATTTTTGAAGCTTTAAACTTCATAAATAAAGGTGAAATATATTTTTAAGGCTATTACAAAGATTTCCAGTATTGGAATCACATTTCTCGACACTATTTGAAGGTAGGCTCTAATTTGGTTGTTTAGAGCCTAGGCCCTATACAAACTGCACCCCTAATGTAAATCATTGGTGAATTTTACACATTTTCTCCAATATTTGATTTATGGTATTTTTTTAAAATGATTTATTTACATCTGTTTGCTTCTCCATTTTAATTGTGTATTGCATGTATACACATAAAAAATTATTCATTAAAATAACGGTCCAAGACAATTGTTTGATAACATATGCAGTTCTCTAATGTTTTATTTCAGTTTCAATTTGAAGACTTTTGATTTAATATTAAGTTGAATTTTTTAGCTAAGAGTTGTATTTGAAATGACTAATTACATGCTTGCTAACATGTATCTCTAACTTATAATTTTGTACAATTTGTCTATACAGTTATTTTTTGGAGGATAATTGGGTGTTGGTTATAATGTGTAGTTATAGGTAAGAGGTATGCTAGCTTGGACCGCGGTAGGTTTGAATTAAGGGTGTGGTTTGTATAAGGTTGAGGCTCTAAACAATCAAAGTAAGGCGTACCTCCAAGTAATTTCGAAAGATGATTTTTCAGTAGTAGAAATCTTTGTGATGACTTAAATTTTCATTTTCATATCTAATTATAAATTTAAAGCTTCAAAAACAGTGTAAATTAGGCTGATCTATAACTCTTGACAATATTAAAAATTGAAGGCCCAGATAATATATTACAGGAAATCCATTTTTTTTTCTTGTCTATACATCTCGAGGTTGAGATAATTGATTTGAAGGTTTTCCGACATTGGAAAAACCTCTTCTAATAAATCGTTTTTAAGTGCACTATATAAACTTTTTCCTTGATTTAATGTTTTTTTTCTTCGTTTGATAATTGTGTTTGATAAAACGTACACATTATGTTCTCCATTATTTTTCCCCATTTTTGTTGAAGTATAACAATGAGGTATGCTGGATGTAAATATAGCAAATGGGATGTTGGCATTGGCAAGATTTTAGAGCACTTTTTTGCTTCTTTGATTGTTGCATGAATATGACCAGGTAATTACTTCTTAAATAAAATAGCCAACATAATTATTTGATAGTAGATGCTCTTTTGTTGTTCTTTTGTAGAAATATAGTTACATTCTTTTAGGTGAATATTAATCGAAGTGGTCCTAGACCCAGACTAAGAGCTAAATGCATGAGATTTACTTTCTATAGCTTTTTTTATTGAGTTTCTATGTTGAAAACAAATTATATCTACTAGCTGTTTTCCTAATGGTTTTGTTTTTTCTATAATTGCCTAACATAACTAATTTAGGCTTTGGAACCACCAAAAAAATGGATTCTCTCTCTCTCATTCTCTTTTAGCACAATAAGGTCATAATTATTCTTGTACTTTAGATTTTCAAATATAGTGATTGCAAACTTATGTTATTAAAATGTCCCTCTAAAATCTTTAAAAAAAAAAAAGTTGTTTTGATGTTGCTAATCGATTATCTTGAAATCAAGATGTATAGTTATCAAGAAAAAAGAGATTTTAAGTCCTAAGGATAATACATCTTGCAATATCAGGACGGTCTATTTTTCAGATTTTCAATGTGTTTATAAATCTGCTTGATTTAAATCAGTTTTTGAATTTAAAATTTTATAATTAGAGACTAGAAGAGAATTTCCCAACTGCCTATGAATTTTTCACACCAAAATTGCATCTCATGATAAAATTGGGAAGAACACTTTAATTTGATTTGATTGTTTAAGAATACAGCCATACCACACCCATGTCAATAAACTTATTTTCTTGGTCTTGACTCAAAATTCTTGGCCTTTATATTGAAGTCTTTTCTTCAAACAAAGCAGGAAAACATATGACAAAGGGTTTTCCATGCTCACATCCTCCTCTAACGAAGCGGACGCCAAGGAGACAAACAACAAAATAGGAAACAAAAAAACCAAAGAAAAAAAAAACAAGACAATGCAATCTCAACAAATAATCTCAAAAATCCAAATAAAACCACGAGGCCACACATGGACGGCATCAATTGGGTCTGTTGTCGTTCATGCCAAGTGTGTTCTTCACAGTGTCCACTGCTCCTTGAGCCATGTTCTTCACCTGCTCCCCAGTCTGAAGAAAAAGGAAAAAGATAAAGAAAAAGATAAAGACGAATTTGGGGAAAGGCAAACATGAAAGACTTTTATGAGTGACAATTTTGAGAGAGAGACCTGTTGGAGAAAACCAGCAGCCTCTTCCTTGCTCTCTTGTGCAGAGCAACGAGCGGATTGCGAATTGCTGGACATGCTATCCTTCGCCGATTGCGCCGCATCACTCGCCTTATCCTTCACCGTCTGAGCTGTGTCTTTCGCCTTGTTCACCATCTCATCTTTCTTCACCTGAACACCACTCCACACATCAAAATTTTCAAGTAGAGGTCTACACTATCAAAAACCAACATAAAATTCTCCAAAATACTAGAGAGAGAGAGTACCTGAGCATGGCCCTTAGCTTCACCAGCCTTGTACCTAATATCCTGAGAGCGATCCATTCTTCCGTTTTAATCTTTTTCTCTTCTTGTTACAGTTGATATGTTAGTTTTGCTTGAAAATGGAGCTTTATATAGGCTACGGCTTTCCATCAGATGAGCAACAAGTGTACAAAATTTTACGTAGAGGAAACTTACAGTTGTCAAGCATTGCATAGGTCTTGTTGTTCAGTCATTTTGACTAGGCCTCAGGAGTGAACGCTTCTGAAGCATCGAAATCAAAGAAAGAAACACGTTTTATTAAAAGAGAAGTATTACTATATTAAAAGAGAAATATTACTATATATTAAAAGAGAAATATTACTATATATTAAAAGAGAAAGAAACACGTTTTATTTGTATGTTACGTGTCGCACTCTATTTTTTTTCTCATTCTAAAAACGATTCAACTACTATCTCACTATTCAAAAATATCGAAGTCAAACGTTCTCACCTTCTTAAATTTCTCAAACAATTTCTCTCCCTAAATAAATGGGGAAAGCTCTTTACGATCTCTTTCCTTAAATAAATGAGAAAGCTTTCTATGTTCTCCCTATAGAAGTTCTATCCAACCATCTATTTTTTAATGGAGTATTAAGATTGCTCCAATCATAATGTCATGTCTTTATATTATTTTATTTTTAATTTTTTTTCTATAAACTATTTTGATATCAAATTTTGGACGTCCATTCCTCTATTAAACTCGCACTAATGAAAAATATAAAAAATATATTTTCAATAAAATAAAATGACCAAAATACCTCTAAAAATCTCAAGGGGTATTTTGGTCATTATATTTTATCAAAAAATTATTGTTAATATTTTTTATAGGTGCGCTTCAATGAGAAGATATCACGTACCAAATTTCATATTCATAAAATTTGTATTAAAAAATTAAAAATAAAACACTTTGAGACGTCGGATCTAAGATCAAACAGCGAGTCGCTCTCTTGATAAAAATTGATGGCTGGATGGTAGGGAGAGGATAGAACTTCTATGTTGTAGAAAGAACATAAAAAACCTTTCCTAAATAAATACCCTCGTAATTTCCTCCTTATTTCTTTTCTTTTTCCCCTCTCACTTACCTCTCTATCCTTAAATCTCTCTCCATCTCTCCTTAAATATCTTTTTTTTTTTTTCTCTCCTTAAATCTCTTACATTCTCCTCTTTTCACTTCTATATTTGTTGTGCCGTTTGCCACCTAGCCTAATCATTTTTTATTTATTAAATTAATAAAGTTAATTTATTATGTGATTCAAAAATAAAGAAGAATATCATTCGGCGTTAGGATTTGTGGTTGATCTCTATATGTACTTTCTATCTTGTTTTTAATTTTGACATTTTTTTGATCAAATCGTGATTTACGGCCAATATACCAGTTAATCATAGATATCTGGATGTTGTCAAATTTTAAACATCCTCTTAAAATATTAGGCAATAAAATGACTTTTTTTTATTTGTTGTAGTTTAGTATTCTATTTATTTGTGTCATTTGCCATTTAACCTAATTATATTTTATTTATTAGATTCAAAAATAAGGAGAATATCATTTTGCAGTAATTGTGGTTAAGTAATTTGAATAATGATGATAATATTTTCGTTTATTTTCATAACTATAGTGTTGTATAGAATTATCTAAATTATATATTTTAATTAATCGATTAGTAGCACATTAATTTGACAATAACAATTAATTATAATAGTATAATGACAGTTACATAAATTAATGTATTAGCATCGTTCATTGCTAATAAAGAATTATATATAACTAATATATACCTTATTAATTAATACAAAGAATTAATAAACATAATATATTATTACGAAAACTATTATTCATAATAATTAACATGAATGGGATATTAATATG